ATTTAGCATAATTTAGCAATATCTAGAATGTTGATCTTCGGGAAGTTAAGTACAATTATGTTTACTTTTATGGAGACATTGTACTTTTTTGCAATTTTTTTATCATGGGCTCTTGCACAATTTTATTCACGACAATATGTTCGGTAGAGGTAACTTCAAATTAAAAAAAAAAAAGATGAGAAAATTAGCACAAGGGAGCAAATTTTGTGTTGCCTAAATAGGGCATGGGGATTTCAAATCTGAAATTAGTTTTCCTCTTAAAGCTATATATTTTTAATAAATGACATTTTCAGTTAATTTTTGACGAAATGTTCAAGCTTAAAAACGTTATATATAACAAGGGGCAGCATAAATACTGCGACAAACTTTTAGGGAAGTAAGGGCACACCATCAGGATTAAAGTTGCATAGGAACGGATACTCGGAAAAGTCGCGTACGCGGTTAGAGGCGTTTTTCTTTTTATAACCTGTTCAGAAGCACACGAAGTAACAGTTTATAGTAGGGAAGCGGTCTCAACGGCGTCTGACGACATCTCTAGATAAGGTTCCTATTTATTTTACAAGTTTGTCGCAACATTTATGCGTCACCCTGTTATATGTAAAGTTTTTGAATTTGTACATTTGGACACAAACTGAAAAATGTCATTAAAAAAAGAAAAACTGTAGATTGGTGAGACGAACTGGTTACAGATTTGAAATCAGTGATACGAAAGTTGCTAGGATCTGTTAAAAATCCCATGCAACAGAAAAAGAAAGTTCTCTCTAGTGTAATTATTGTTTCATATTCAAAGAAGTTATCTTTTTTCTATAAATTTTGAAATAGTATTCCTCTCCCGTTTCTGAATATTTTTGCATGAAACTTGTGCTTATATATTGTCGTGGAATGCAACCAGATGGCGCTCTCCTATTAATTCAATATGTTATTCATTAATGAATAAAATATTGAATAGGAGAGCGCCATCTGGTGGCATTCCGCGACATACACTAGTTATACCCTGTTGAATGACTCGTAGTATCTATTAAGCTAGGATATGATTTAAAATTCTAAAAAAATATATATCGATTCTAAGACATGAGATATTACCAAAAGAAAATTGAAAAACTCCTAGTTCCACAATTATGTTTTTTAAAAAAATCTTACATCTAAGATTAAAATTCTTTGCTCTCCTTTAATTATCATATTATTATTAACATATGCCCAAAATATATAAGCATTTGAAGTTTTGGATGAAAAGTCTTAGAGTTTTATAAGCAGTTAAAATTGCAAAATATTAGTTTAGAGAAAACTGAGTTCAAAGTTTTTAATAACCTTAGGACTATAGCAAAGTAGTATATAAGTAAGTAGTATAGCGCGTTAGTAAAAATTGCTATTACAGAATAAATATTCACCGTACAGCTCTAAAAAGTTTGGAAATAGGCAGAAAGTAGCGCGAGGAATAACTTTTACTAAAACTTTGCTACTTGGTTAGCTAAAATACTGATAGATTAATCTATCAATATTTTCCGGGATAAACGATTTAATGTACGTATTTTCCAATTCGTAAATGTTGGAATGAGGTTTTGCCATTTTTTTTGGACTCAAACATTGAGAGGTAATTTATTTACTTCTTCATTATAGTTTTAAAAAATTCTTCGACTTTGCTAAAAATATTTGAATAATTGCTAAAATATGACAGCTACACTAATTTGGAATTAAATAAAATTTCCTGCTCAAATTTCTGAGATTTAGTAACTAAACAGAGTGTTATGGTTTATATGATGTATATATCTATATAGAATGACTAATGGCAATTTGTCATTCTGTTTGTTTAGGTATCTTCTAAGAAAATTCTCGTTCGTCATTCTGTATACGCAATCAAGGTCAGTATTTCGGACAAATGTGCGAAAAGAACATTCTAATTCATTCTTAGTAACATTAAACAAGTATTGTGAAAAAAATAAAGTATTATACAAAACTCTTACAGCTTATATATTTGTCTTTTCATTACCATAGGTGAGCTTTCAGCGAGATTATTTTTAATAATTATTCGATTTGCATTTCGGCATTGTAGAATGCTGATTAAGTATGAAGAAATAAGCATTTCATGCTTTCATGTCCAAGTTATATTTTCCAGTCTTGATATACAGGGTCTTTATAATTAAAGTTTCACTTTGAAATGGCTATAAAAATAAAACTACCCTACCAAATGTCATCAAACTTGGTAAATGTCTATAAGAGGTTATGGGATTTTAGTTCTCGCAAAAAAAANAGGATAGTTGATGACTGAGTAGTCTGCTGCGTTTGCAGGTCATATCTGAGTATTACTGTGAAGTAAATAGCAATTGAGTATGGTTGTAGTTTAGTTACATGGGGGCACAATTAGGTTAAAGGCTAGGGGTGGTATACTCCCGAGCTAAGAATCACCCTTGTTCATTTCCTCTTCTCGGGAGCATCCATATATGATATAGTATGGGGCGAGGTATCTAAAAAAACTATGGATTGTAGTGGTCTGAAATTATCCCGTTAGAGAGCAGGAAGTGTAGGATTGGGTTATGCATCTTTGCATCCTGTATTGGTTCTTTATCTAGAATGAGATTGAAATCGGCAGTTGTGCTTATCTTAGCATCACTAAAGAAGCTAGCATTTTGTTTATTCATGAATTCTTCAATTGAGTCCATATTTAAATCTTTCCTGATATGTTTATCTGGTAAATGCCAAGGGGCACCGGTCATTCTCCGAAGGAATTTATTTTGTAGAGTTTCCAGCTTTTTTATTTGTGTGTTGGTTAGGCAACTCCATGCTGGACTAGCATATGTGATGATCGGTCTGATGCAACTTATATATAGTTGGCTTTTCAAATTTAATGGTAGTCTGGAATTTGCATTGAGTAGTGGTCGTAGGCTAGCAAAGGCTGCTTGGGCTTTTTAGAGATTTTATCAATGTGGTTATTCCACGATAGTTTGTTATTTAAGGATAGTCCTAGGTAGTCTGCAGAATTCACAATATTTTTGCATGAAACTTGTACTTATATACTGTCGCGGAATGCCACCAGATGGCGTTCTCCTATTAATTCAATATGTTATACATTAATGAATAAAATATTGAATAGGAGAGCGCCGTCTGGTGGCATTCCGCGACATATACTAGTTATACCCTGTTGAATAACTCGTAGTATCTATTAAGCTAGGATATGATTTAAAATTCTAAAAAATTATACATTAATTCTAAGACATGAGATATTACCAAAAGAAAATTGAAAAACTCCAAGTTCCACAATTATGTTTTTTTAAAAACTCTTAAATCTAAGATTAAAATTCTTTACTCTCCTTTAATTATCATTAATATATGCCCAAAATATCTGAGCATTTGAAGTTTTGGAAGAAAAGTCTTAGTGTTTTATAAACAGCTAAAATTGCAAAATATTAGATTAGAGAAAACTGAGTTCAAAGTTTTTAACAACCTTAGGACTATAGCAAAGGACCATTTGTAAAAATTGCTATTACAGAATCATTATTAACCGTACAGCTCTAAAAAGTTTGGAAACAGGTAGAAAGTAGCATGAGGAATAACTTTTACCAAAACTTTACTACTTGCTAAAATATTGATTGATTAATCTATCAATATTTTCCGAGATAAACGATTTAATGTACGTATTTTCCAATTCGTAAATGTTGGAATGAGATTTTGCCATTTTTTTCTGATTTGACTCAATCATTAAGTGGTAATTTATTTATTTCTTCATTAGAGTTTGAAAAAAAAATTCTTTTATTTTGCTAAAAATATTTCAATAATTGTTAATCTATGACAGCTACACAAATCTTGAATTAAATAAAATTTCCTGCTCAAATTTCTGAGATTTAGTAACTAAACAGGGTGTTATGGTTTATATGATATATATCTATATAAAATGACTAATGGCAATTTGTCATTCTGTTTGTTTAGGTATCTTCTAAGAAAATGCTCGCTCGTCATTCTGTATACGCAATTAAGGTCAGTATTTCTGACAAATGTGCGAAAAGAACATTCTAATTCAATCTTAGTAACATTAAACAAGTATTATGAAAAAAATAAAGTATTATACAAAACTCTTACAGTTTATATATTTGTGTTTTCATTACCATAGGTGAGCTTTCAGCGAGATTATTTTTAATAATTATTCGATTTGCGTTTCGGCATTGTAGAATGCTGGTTAAGTATGAAAAAATAAGCATTTCATGCTTTCATGTCCAAGTTATATTTTCCAGTCTTGATATACAACGCTTGATTTTATTATAATAACTATAATATAATGCAATAATGATAATTCTGTTCCACACCAAATATTAAAAATTTTCAACCAATTAACAATAAAATTTTACTTCGTAGCAAATTTAAACTACAGAGCAAACTTTGCTAAAAGAATAAACATCTTTAAAGTTTCCACTTATTCTAGTATAAATACTTATGCCAAAATTTTGCATTAATATGAGTTCTTAATCTGCATTAATAAATAATTTTTGATATTTTGTTCCACAAAAAATAGAAGAACAAATCTGTATTTGATTTCACTCTAAACTTTACTCTAAATGAATTCCCTGCATAAAATTATCGATCCCGAATTTCTTCACTCCAATCCAAACTGTTGCATATTTTTCCTCACATCCTGCCATATTTACTTTTCTTCTTCACTTAAAGCAAAACAAAAATATGATCGACCTTTTTCGTTCCTTCGACAGACGACAGGTAAAATGGTCCAAGAATTTCTACTCCTATGCTCCATCAAAAAAAGAAGTGCAATAAAACAAGTACTTTTTTGCTACAAAAAGCAATGCTCTCCCAGAAAAGATAACAATAAAATTCCGAGCATAGCTGTAAAAAGAAAGAAAAATAAATAAATAAAATGGTCCCATTCTAGTTCGTATCAACACCCTCTTCTAAATCTTTCGGAATCTGTTCTTATTACGATGTGCGCAGAAGACCAACGCGCATCCCTCTGGTTGGCTCTTCTGTTGATCCGCTTTTCCTCCCTGTAAACTCTAACGTCACAGGCTCCGTTATTTTTCGGAACCTTGCCGTTAGCAATACTAGGTGTCATACTGATAACCGGCTTGCACAACAAGAAACTATCTGCATCACCTATGAACCTGTTTTAACCGTGCCTGGAAGATGGAGAAATTGGCTTTCTACGATCCCAGGCGAGTTGACAATACACTTATTTTGTTTATAAGCGATTGTTTTGCTTAGCGAGCCAATCTTTACCCCCATCGTTTTGATGTTTCTCCTTCCTTAAAGGACTTGTTCTGAGCGTGTCTTGTCCATTGAAGGTTAAGCGGTTACGGGGAACCGCAACTAAAATGAAAGGTTAGCTGAAGATTTAATTTTTTAAAATTCTTTTATAATAAAGATACCGTATGGTAATACACGCTTTATATTTCTCTGCATTGCAGGGGTCTATATTATCACAAAACAGATATTTTGCATACATGCCATTTATTTATCGTAGCTACCTTTCTTCCGCAGAAAAATTATTTAACTAATTTTGATGAAAAAATATTCTCATATTCTCAATAATTATCTTCGTTTGTTTGTAATATATAGTGACGATTTTGAATATAGTTTTATTGTTGTATGAAGTGTAACAATTTAAATTAAATGAATTATATTAATTTGTATTTAGTTTTGAAGGTTAATGATGTTTATAAAAAGATTGATTTTTAGTTCGTTAATTAATTAATTAAAAGATTGTTCATTAAATCTTTATTGTATCATAGCTATCTTTCTTTTTTTTTGTCTTAAAAAGATTAAATTATTTTTAAGATAAAATTTTGAAATTCAAATTACCTAATTTAATAATAAGATATAGTCGCGATTTTGGAGATATTTTTATTTTCATACATTGATAAATAACGTTTCAAATGTAGTGAATTGTATTAAATTTGTATTTTCTGACAAACTATATCATGCAGTTTGGAAGATTCTATTAATAAAATTATATTTATGATGGAATTTATTTTTAGTTTATTAATTGTTTCGTAAACCTGTAATGTATCATCGTTATATTTTTCCACGTTAAAGTAATTATAAGTTATAAAAGTGAAAAAAATATTTAAAATAATTAACTTCATTTAATAATGAAATTAGTGACGATTATGAATTTATTTTAATTCGCGCATGCATGAATAAAACGATTCAAATAAACTGATATTAAATTTGTATTTTTTTGACAAGACGTTTTATAGAATTTAAACGGCTCGAATTATATTTATGAAAGTCTATTTTTAGCATGTTAATTGCTTATATAAGCAAAATGTATTAGTTGGTTAATTGTTGTATATTCAGTACTGATATTCGATGAAATTATATGCAACATTATTTAAAATTTTGTTCTCTAATAATTTTTTCTATCCAAAGTTTTAATTGACTCCTCACATTATTATTTATTTAATTTATTATTTAAAGATGTGAAATAAGATACAACATAATTCAGATATACAAAGGTTTTTCAGAGATTGTTATTTTAAAACAAAATGTTTTTCTGAAGAATTAAAATAATTTTAGAACTAAAATAAACTGTTAAAACATATAAAAATCTAGCACATAAAAATGTAACCGTTTTATGTAAATTATTTAAAGCATAAATTTTTTTAATGCTGCATTTAAGTAAATTTTTTACACAAAATTCAAATAGATCATCAAATAAATAATTATTCGAATTTAAATAGCTAATGCATTAATTAAATTCCTAACTCCTATGATATATTTAATTTTTGATTCAAATGTTGCGCAATAAAAAATTAATACTAATATGTAGTTTTTTCTATTTTCAAGACTTGTCATGTCAGCTGCAATAAGTCATACTTCTGTAGAATAGGATCTTTTATAGGATCTTTAATAATAGAATAGGATGCTTTCTTCGTTATTAAAAATTGTCGTTTAAACTTTGAGAGATGGGTTATTTTACAGTAGTTACAAAACTTCATCATCTCAGAAATTAAATAAATAAATTAAAATAAAATCTGAAACTTTTATTTTGGAAAAAGTAAAATAAATTACTGATGCGTATTTTTCATGTATCATTAACAAATATTGCTTTTGTTTTTACTGTTTGAAGGCAACTTTTGTACACGAATAAATTGTTAATGTTTTTATGTTTTAAATGGATATATTTCCATTTGAAAATTCTGCAACTTTTTTGAATTTTCTTCTCTTACTGAAAATTGAAATATTTATACTCATATATTATTTGTTATGTTAAATAAATAACGAACATATCATGTATTGTGCAACATGTCATGCCGTGTCCAGTTAATTGACGTAAGTGAAAAGAACTATTAGTCACTTCCTAATTGCCCAGTTGGGCCACGGGAAGATTATATCGCTGTTTTTGTGATTCTGTGAAAAACATAAAAACTAGATTTCTGTCCGGACTTGAGAAAGGTCCTGTTTTTGAGAATCCGGAAAAAAATCACTCATAATTTCATACTACTCATAGTTAATATATACTTATATATTATTTGCTATTTTGAATAAACAGCAAAAAAATCATTTCTTGTGTAATATGTCATAACGTTTTCTGTTAATTGACATGTAAGGAAAAAAAACAAATAAGTACTTATTCATAATTAGCTCAGTAGGGCTGTGAAGATCTTATCGTCCTTCTATTTTAGTTTATATTTTTATGCGTAAGATATCTTAGTATACAGTTAATAATAATGGTTATTTTAGACGTTTTGAAATTATGAAAAATGTATTAATAATTTTGTGAAAATAGGATTCTGTTTTTGTGATTTTGTAAAAATCGTAAGAACTAAATTTTTGCTCGGATTTCTTACGAAAGGTACTTTTTTTGTGAATCCGAGAAAAAAAAAACTACTCATAATTTCATACTACCCATCAGTATGTTTATACTTATATATTATTTGTTATGTTAAATCAGATATTGTGCAATATGTCATGACGTTTTCTGTTAATTGACATATTGTGAAAATAACAATTAAGAATAAATAATTTGCCCAGTTGATCTATGTAAGGATCTTATCAATGTTCTTTTTTAATTTATACTTAAGACAACAGACTTTTTATGAAAAGTTGTCGAAAATCATAATTTTGTAAAAATAATATCCAGTTTTTGTGATTTTGTGAAGATTGTGATAATAGTTTTATTTTTTGACGTTTCACGAAACGTTCTGTTTTTCTGCACCTGGAAAAAAAAGAAACTAATCAGAATTTTTTTTCGAATTTAATATTACCGTTAGAATGGAGTTTTTCTGCCAGGGTCCTCTTTTGATGAATATAGAATTTGTGAAAATAAGATCATGTAGAAAAGAATTACGTGAAAGGTCGATTTCAAAAATATTTTTAGGGGTCTTTTTTTTCCGGACTGTTTACTTATCTTGGGGCATCTTATACCTTTTCACTCCTGAACTCTTTCTTTTAACAATTTTTTGTTTTCTTTCTTGTTATATTTAAGTATTTATGTTTGCAAACTGCGGTGTTTTTATTTAAGATTTTTGTAAACATCGTTTCAATCGTTAATGATTTCTATGCCGAATCCATTTTTATAGTGTATGCATTTTATTATATTTATTTATGGGCTAATAAATTTATTTTTGACATCATGGTTTGCAAGTTATATTTAGTACTGCTTATTTTTTTTAACCTTTTTTTAGTATCCATAAATTTATTGTGTTTAAATAATAAAATTTAGTGCTTTTAATATTCTAATCATTTTCTTCCTTTAAAATAACATCATAGAAATAGGCTGGATTATCATTATTAGCGTTAAACACTCCAACTAATACAGTACAATGCAACATACAGTAACCGATCTTTTGATTGGTTCTGGTTTGTTTAGTGTTAAAACTCTAAATTTTTACAAATAATCGATTATAATAATTTCAAAAATAATTAGAATTAGAAAAATAATTAGAAAATTTGAATAATAATTTTAAAAATATATTAGATAATAATAATTTTAAAAATATAATAGATAATAATAATTTTAAAAATATAACAGATAATAATAATTTTAAAAATAATTAGAATAATTACAGAAATAATAATTTAAAAGTAATTTAAATAGAATGGGTTACTAAACAACAAATATAAGTTAAACAAGTTATAAGAAAAACAGATGAAAATAAACATAGACTAAGTTGTTTTTGTTATTTTAGATATGATTTATTCTTCAAGCTTCCTTCTTTGTTCTTTGTTCATTTCCTTAATCTAATATTTTTTTTATCCTATTACCTTTTTTTGTTTCTTTCTCTGCATACTTGATATTTATTCTCGCAAAGTCATGTTATTTTTATTTGATATTTTTATTGAGATTGTTACAGGTAATTATTATTTTTGTGAAAACTATTTTTATGAAACAAATTTTATTACATTTATTAAAAAGCTCATAAGTTTAATTTTTAGTTGCTAAATTACTTTTCCTGTTTTAAAATTTAATATAAATATTGAATTAATGTTTTTGAATATTCTTATGCTATTAAAAACAATCTCTTCAAGGATAAATTCCACTTTTACAAAGGGAAAAGACGATGATTAAAAATATAGCGTGATTTTATAAATTATTTAAAAATTTAAACCTTTTATAAATTATCTCGGGATTTCATAAATTATAAAACTATATTTGAAAACTATACAGTGTTCCCTCATATCGCTCTTGCCAAGGGAAAAGGCAATAATTAAAAATTATCGCTTAGTTTTTTAAAATTATTTATAAATGTGAACTTTTTTTGATTTTACTTACTATAAACTATAATTTATAAAACTATAATTAAAAACTATACAGTGTCCCCTCATATTACTCTTGTCAAGGTTAAAGGTGATAATTAATAATTTTCCGTGATTTTATAAATTTAAAATTTTAAATCTTTTATAAATTATCACGCAATTTTTTTAAATTATAAAAAATTTAGTTTTATTATTTATAAAACTAAAATTAAAAACTAGTAGTATATAGTGTTTCCCAATGTCGCTCTTGTCAAGGAAAAAGGCTGTAGCGAAAGTCATTTTAAAATCATAAAAGTGAAAAATAATAACATTCATATATTAGGATAAATTCGTTTATTAAATCAATAAATAGTTAAACTTAATTTTATTCTTATTTTTTAATATGCAATCTTTAGAGAAACAACAAGAGCTATGCTTTTCAGATGAAATATGACTCAAAAATGGTTTATTTATTCAATTCCCAAAGTAACACACAGTCTGCAAAATAAAAGAAAAAAAAGAATTGCCCTTAATAACTTTTAATCTAATGATCAGATTTTTAAGCACTAACATGTAATATGAAGTTTCAAGATGTAGACTTTAAATATCTAATAAATTACCGTAGACGACATTTTAAATTA